ATGGGCAAGGGTTCTGCTAACTGTATAGGGGTCTTGGAAACAAACGCCTTTGCAAGGGAAACGGGTGATAAAAGGTGGGTGGACAGCTTGGGGCTTTGGTAGATATTGGAGTGCGGTAGTATCACGGCTGCCTTGTGTGCAGGAGGCTTGGAATTCAGGGCTAGCGATCTTCTTTTGATCCAGTCCTTTCGGCGGACCCATGATCCGTGTGCGAGCCTAGTAGGACACATGTGGGTTCTGCTACGGCTACTGCATGAATTGTTTAATGGCGATTATGATTGGGTGTGGCTTCGGGTTTTGTTATATGCTTGTCTGCTATCTGCCGGCTAATTGTTTATTCTGATAGTCCATTCAAGGCATGCCACAGGTCGTACTCTCGCCGGGACTTCCGAAGCACGAAACTGGCTAGCGATGTGAACGTTCCTGCCCAGGCCCAATCGTACTTCGCGCTCCAAATGCTGCGAAGGGGTGTCTTGGATGCAAGCATCGAGAAAGTTGAAGCTAAATTCATGTAATTGAACGGCCTTTTGGTGCCTGACGTGCAGTGGGCTATGGGCGAATGTATGCAACCGGGTAGCCATGGTTCCTTGTCACCTGCCCATTTCTTCCCTCCCGTGTTGAAGGAAAACGCTTAGTTTTCGGAATGCTATTTCACTCAAGCTGGCAGAGCATTGATACCCATCTGCCCTGCTGCAAAATGATGTCTTCGCATGCTGTCGATTATAGACAGATATTGTGGTGCTGGTGCTACAACGACGACGACTACCACCTAATACTAACGTACTGCTGGCTACTACTGACTCGAACGACTACTGTACCTGTACCTGTACAAGTACTCGTACTCGTGCTCGTATTTGTACTCGTGCTGCTGCTGCTGCTGCTGCTGCTGCTGCTGCTGCTGCTGCTGCTGCTGCTGCTGCTCTTGCTACTGCTACCGCTCCTACTGCCACTACACTTCACCCCAGGATCGCTTTGCCATGAAGTACTGTTGCACTCTAGGTGGGAAGAAAGCCCAGTACCACCCGTTGTATGAAGCAAGGGCGTCTTGCGTTTGCCAGCATTTCCTTCCCACTCGGCAAACATACTTTTGTTCTGCTTGGCTTCGGTGCGGTCGCGAGGACTGACCAGCATGCTGACTGACTAACACTACAGCAAACTGCAGTCTCTGCTCCTCCGCATGCATTGAACTACATGCTGAAGCCTCGACGGCACAAGGCACTTCCGGATAGACTAGACGTAGCGGTATTGGTCACCTCACGTGCTTCCGTGGTTTTTTGTGTGTACTGGTCTTGAAGGTCCTTATTTCGCTCGTGAGTCTGATCCCGCTAGAGTTACTAGAGTTTTTTTTTTTTGTGTGTGTGTGTGTTTCGTTGACATTTTGGAAATGATGAGTTTGTTCTGCGACTCGTCTTCGCGCTGCTGCTGCTTTTCAACCACTGCCTCCAACTTTAATTGCCAGTCAGCGGGGGTCAGGAAGGTGGCTGGCTCCCACCTCAAAACCCCAAGCCCTTTACCCTACCATAAGCCCCACCGAAATGGTGAGAAACTCGCTCATATGACCAGGAAGGGTTTCGGAGCGACTGCGCAGGACGTGCCGCAGGGGTGCGAGGGTTGGTGGTCCGGGGACAGATCCCGATGCCTAAGCCTGGTTTTCCAGAGTGATATAACTTGTAACTTGTCAGAGATTCTGGCGGCCTTCGTGAGCTGGCAAACAGTTTCTGCATTGCAATATGCTGCGGCTTGAGGCTTTTACATTGGATGGTGTGTGATGGATGTGCCCAGCTTGGAAAGAGTCTCCGGTTGACTTGACTGGCAGAGTCCCTGTCCTGTTAGCAAGAAGCCGCCGGCGAAAGAAGCGATGCCCAACTTCTGCAAGTTGTCGACCCAGCCTCTTAAATAGTTTTACAATGTTTCCCCGACACAAAGTACTACAACCTTCAGCAGAGCACAAACTGAACAAACAGGGCCGTAAGGCAGCGACTCGACAGCTACAACCCCGAAGTGCAGCTACATCTCCAAAACGGTTCTTTTCCGATTCCCTGCCCGAACGTCTTTCAATTCTTGCAAACCACTCGGATCACCAAAACCTTCCGGTCCCGAACAGCCCTCATGCGTTGAATGGCTGGAGGGAACTTCCGCTGTGTTTTGTAGTTGGCAACCCCCCTAACCCAGCATCTAAGACAGAGCCTGAGAACCGAGGCCCCCAAACCCGAAAGCCAGGACCCCTAAACCCTAAACCCTAAACCCTGAAGAGGGAGCTTAGAGGGAGTACATGGGGGGTGATGTATGTGTGTAGTGGTGGTGGATCCCCTTCTGGTTGTCTAAGCTCCCTTGCTAAGCCCCAACCAACATGGTATTCCGGACACCTTATCAGGCGAAGGAAAAGAGGTGTTAAAAAAAAAACCCTAAACCCTAAACCCTAAACCCGAAAGCCAGGACCAGTCCTCTTCCGGCTTCCTGCGCCTGGCTGCGGCGCTCGTGGCCGGAGGAGCCGTGCAGCGTGCCGCCTATGGCAAGGCCGGAAATGGGGCTGAGGCTTCTGAGAGGAGGCTTCGAGTTTATGGCGGTTTATGGTTTAGAATCAGGGCTCAGGGGTTGTGGTTCATCGGCTCGTTGGTTGTGGATTTCGCTCTTGACTACTGGGCCAGGGCTTGAGGACCGAGGGCCTTTCTTGAACCTTGGGTGCCAGAAACCATGACCATGGCATGGGAAGGCTTGAAGCTGTTTCCACTGTCTTTGGAAGCTTTGGGGGCTTCAGGCAGGTTGAAGCCTGAAGGTACTTTCGAAACTTGCGTTTTCGGCGTATAGGACCGTGCATGGTACCCGGAGACCGTGTAAGGATTGGCTTCGGAGGTTTGGGGGATCTGACGTACAAGAGCGAATTCCTTGGGCTTGCTGTCTTACTCTGTGCTCTAGAAATCGCTTCTGATTCTTGTTGTGCAAGAGGTTGAACTTAGGTCCGCAGACACACAAACCCCATACCCCACACAGATTGAGCCTCAGGGCATGGGCAGAGGCGGAAAGGCCGGCGACACTAGAATGTCTGTGGGCTTCCTGTCCAGGCCTTTCTGTTTTGGGCTTTGGGGCGATCCCCAAGCTTCAGGGCGTAGGTTTCAGGATAGAGCAATGGCTGTTGCACCAGCTTTAGCCCAAGGACTTCACAGCGGGAGGTACATGTCGTTACATGTTCGTTTTCCTTGATTTGTTCAACTTGCTATTACTGGCTACGCAGGCTGCACTGTCTAACGTAGCTCAGGTTTGGCCTTTGGCCCCAAACATTGCCTCCGAACTGTCACAGTCTCATGATCGACTGCCATGCTAGCCAAGCTAGCTTCAAAGCGAGTGTTCAGGAAACAAGGAGCCCGAGCAAAGGCAGCCCAGCACCATTACCGTTTGGTTTTGGTCTTATTCGACTCCGTAGCCCTCCCTTAGACCCGCGTTGTCCACCTCGCCGGGACGTGAAAGCCCATCGAGCCAAAGCACACGACGACAACAGCTCGACCCTGAAGCAGCCATAGCCGCAGCCCACACCAAGCCAGAAGGACACAAACCAGCTAAGAGGCCACCCCAGCCCTGGGCGCCCCCAGCCCTGGTAGATCCTGCAACCCTTTCCAAGCCTTAAAACCTTAAACCCCCAAGTCCCCCAAGTCCCCCTTAACTCCTAAACCCTAAACTATCCCAAGCTCCGAAACCTTTAAACCGTAGAGACCCTTCAATTCTTCAGCCCTAAATCATCCTAAACCCCTAATCCTAACCCTCTACCAGGGCTATGGCCGAGACTTCGGTGGAGGGCGCGATTTCGGTGGAGGGCGCGATTTTGGTGGTGGCGGCAGCTTCGGCGGAGGTGGGCCGGGAAGATAAGGATCCTTCTATTTCGGGCTCTAGGGTCCATAGTGGGGTCTTCCATTTTTTACATTTTCGAGTTCGGTGATGGATTCCCCGTTCAAGCAACTTGCAGGAAGCGCAGCTAGTAACTAGTGCAACACGCATCTTCTGTTGAAAGCAGTGTTAACAGAGCATTAACGCCAAGATATACGGGCGAGAAAACGATTAAAGCTTATGCGGCAAGTAGTCCCAGTAGAAATTTTGGGCACTACAGCAGGAGTTGTAGAGAGCGACAGCAGCAGCAGCAGCAGCAGCAGCAGCAGCAGCAGCAGCAGCAGCAGCAGCAGCAGCAGCAGCAGCAGCAGTGGCAGCAGCAGCGGCAGCACAGCAGCACTAGCACTAGCACTTGTGGCAGTGGTGGTGGTCTTAACAGCAATGGTAGCCGTGTAGCAGCAGCCGGTAACGACAACAACATGTGCAAGCAGATACGAGGCAGGTGTGGCTGAATCTGAATGGTCTGAAGATCACTGCTTGCTAGTGTAAGGTGTCGTCGGTCATGGTAGTATCGGTACGACTGAGCAGCAAGGCAAATTGCAGGCACATTCATGAGACCCCCATAACCACCCTTGAACATTGCATAAAGCCCTCATATCCGCCCCCTTGCGGAAAGGTCCGATAGCTATACTGCAAGCAACGCCAGCTCCCTGAGGCCGCAACGACATCCAGCGCCTGACCGAGGCCAAGCGCACACGGGAGGTGCCGGGCACACGGGCACAAGGGGGAGAGAGTCGGGGGAGCGCCGGAGTGCTGTGAGGTTTTCGAAGGACTTTTGCAAGGGTTCTTGTACAGGGCTTTGCAGGGGTTGGTATCGGGGGTGGGGGTGGGGGCGTCGGGTTGGCAGGGTTTTTGAACTCGGGGGGGGGGACAAAATCTTAGGGCCTCGTGTGGGTCCTCGTGTAAGGATCCTCGTAGTCATGGATGTTCCGAAACTCCCACCCAAGTCCTGATAGTTTCAGGATGTTTTAGTGTTTTAAAAGCAGGGCTTTTCAGGCTTCTATAAGGCTGTTCAGGGGATCCGGGTCTAGCGTTGAGGGTTAGCGAACAGGTGTTCAGGGTTTTCGGATTTAGGAGTTTGGGGTAACGATCGTCTCCCCTCATTCGGGACTGGTTGGGGTCGCTGGTGTTTTCAACCTTGTCCCCCCTTGCTTTACTTCATTCCCCAAACAGTTTACTCTAGGACTTCTGGGGTTTCTTGTTGATGTCGCTGTTTTCGCGCTGTGGGTGGGTGGCCAATGCCGGGGCGCCGGGGTTTTCGCGCGTGTCTCCTGTTGTCTGATTTCATTTGAGACCGGTCCCGTGGTGTGGGCGGAACATGCCGGAAAGAATTTGAGAAAGAGGTGCAAGCCAGTCGAAAGGGACTGGAAATTTGAGAGACAGCAGCAAACTGCTCGAAAGAGAGCAAACCGCTGGAAGGAGATTTCAAGCATGGACAAAGAGGAGCAAACCGATTCAAGGGGACCAGAAAAGTTTGAGAGACAAGGATCAAAACCGCTCGAAAGAGACTCGGTTATGTTGAAAGAGGACAACACCGCACGAAAGTGACAGCGAGGATGGTTTGACTCAAAAGGGGCAGACCCGCCGAAAAGGACAAGGACTGTGTGTGACAGAAGAGGACCAAACCAATCCACAGAGGTTAATAAACAAATATGGATAAACGCGAGCAAGCCACTCGAAAGAACCGGAGCAATTGTGAGAGAGAAGAGCAAGCTCGGCGAGACGACCTCGAAAGTTTGAGACTCAAGAGCACACCGTTCGAAAGAGCTTGGAGAACCATGAGCAAACCAGCCGAAAGGGAGGAGACATATTGAACATGAGGAGCAAACCCACCAAAAGAGGAAAGAGACAAGACACCGTGACCCGCAGAAGGCAAGAACAAGTGGAGCATGAAATGAAGGGCCTGGCAAGGATGAGAAACGGGAGCAAGCCGCTCGACAGAGATTACAGTCATAGGAAGGGGGAGGGGGGTAGGGGACCCTACTTCCTTAAATAGACCTTGTTATTAATCCTTATGACGGGTATTATGGCCCCCTCCCCGCGTCCCCCCTACCCCCCTTAGGGTCCGTGTGATATGGCGAAGCTGAGAGAAGAGCGAAGCACTCAAGAGGGAGTGCAGAAGTTGACAAAGAGGACAATTGTAGAATTATTTCTAAGAGGAGCAAACCTTTCGAGAGCCAGAGAAAGTTTGAGAGATGGGCAGATTTTTTTTTTTCGAAAGAGCCTAGAGAGCTTCAGGAGAGTCTGAGAAAGACGAGCGGAAACTAGACGAGCGAAATGTGGTAAACAAAGTTGAGAATCTGGAGCCAAGTGCTTGATCCATGTCTCTAGGTGGTCTACTGGCGGTGTCTTGGTGGCTCGTGGTCTCCTGGGGTCTTTGGTGGTCTCTTGGTGTCTCTGGGGGTCTCTTTGTGGTCTCCTAGTTTCTTGGTGGTCTCTGGGTGGTCTCCTGGTCGTTGTCGTCCTCGTCAGTGTCGCAGTGCTCGTCATGGTTGGTCGGTCTTCCGATGATCACCTGGTATTCTCTGGGCGGTTTCCTGGTCGCTTCTCTGGAGTGTCCTGGTGGTCTCTTGGTGGTCTCTTCGTGGTCTCCCTGGTCTCCAAAAGGCAGCAGTAGCACCGAGCTTTGCACAAACCGAAGTTAAACCAACGCTTTGAATGGAGGCGCAGCAATTTTTCCAGTACCAGAAGTCGCTGATGCTGCGAGGCCTGACGCAATCTGGGGGACAGAGTGGTTCTTGACGGTCGAGAGTTGGGATTTCGGACGTCGGATCGGTTTGGGGGGGACTCATGTCGGCTCCGTGTTCAACTCTTGGGGAGCCTGCCCCGTGACTTGGCGAAGTGGTGCCTGCAGGTGAACAGACCAAGGACGAGCGGTTTTATCGGCAGGAGGAAGCCAGGCATCGCTCGGGAGAGGAGGGTTTCTGGTGTTTTTCTCCAGAGCTTGCGTTCAGTTCAGAGTCGAAGAGATGACAGGAGTTGAAGAGTTGCTGTTTGCAGTAGCTATCTGGGGGAGGGCCACAAGGTTTCAAGGTTTGGGACCAGAGTGTTGGGTTGCGTGGCTGGATCTCTCAAAAAAACCGACCCCAAAACCCACAACGTCAGAGAGCTCAAGTTCTCCCATGCCCAGACGACTCCCTAAACTCCGGGCCTTTGCTCCTAGATAATGGCATCCATTCAATTGAAAGACTTCGGATGAACCACAAGACACAACCGAGTAAAAGCAAGACAAAACCAATTGGCGCACCCGATTCCGGCCCAGTGTCTCGCAATGCACCTCAAAAAGCAAGGTTTGAAGCCTACATCCCGAGAAATGTTGGGCGGAGCTTGGAGAGAGGTCGATTCGATTCCATTATGACTTGTTGTCCTGCTGATCTAAAGCCTGGCGGGCGAAGCTGCCAGAGACTTTAGTCCTAAGCTCCGGGCTCCCTCTCTGCCATCGTAGACTCGTCGTAGGCCTCGAGCTCCAAACTCCAAGCCCCAGAAGCCCAAGGACGGCGCAGCACGAGCCCAAAGTTCGTGACCAAACCCGACACCCGAAACCGCGGGAGGCTCTTCAAAGCCGCGCACGTCTCTGCCGGCATCGACTTCCAGAAGTATGACAGCATCGATGCTCGGGGCTCAGCTCTTCAGGTTTCGGCCTCCATGCGGAGGCTCTACGTAAAAGCGTGTCATGTGGCCTTGTGATGAAACTCGGGACAAGTACAACAGGGAGCTTCTGCATGGTTTGGATGATAGTACGACGAGCCACCCAATTAGCCGATCCTCCATTGCCTAAGCCCCTTGTCCCACATCCGCAAGTCCAATCTCCAAAAGCCAAGGTCCAAAATACGTTGCCCTCGCATGCATGTTGCATGTTGAACCTTGAATTCCACTTTCAGCGATTAAACTAAGGCTTGATCCGCTGAATGTGTGAAGTCCCAGCAACGCCTCCAGTCAAAAAGCACTGCGAGTTGGAATGCCTCGACTCAAACGAAACTGGAGGAAGCATTGCTTCTCGCTTGAGGCCTTGCGGCTCGAATTGACGGCTTGGTCTTAAGTCGCAAGGCTCGTAAGACGCAGGCTGCAGCCGGCCTGGAAGGCCAACAGCTGGGCGAAGCAGCCACCGCGGTCGCCATGATGGACGTTCTGGCGCGGGCCTGCGCCTGGCTGTGCCATCCTCCAGAGCAAGCCCAGGCGGCACTGTTTAGCACTCCGAATTCATTCGAAACTGCTCTTGTCCCGTGCGAGATGCAGGAAGGTCATCAAGCTGTTCCAACGCCACCGCCGCTATCCCTGAACACGTCCATGCTGGAAGCCAAGATCCCCCCTTTCTTGTCGTTGAAGGATGCGCTGATGCTTCGAGCCAGCTGCAAGTCCTTCTCGAAGACAAATGTGTTCCACTTGCTCCTCAAGTACTGCTCCAAGGTTGATGTCAGGCGTGCGCGTGAGAGTCATCGGTCCGCAGAGCAATTGGTGCTAGGTCCCTCGCCATCAATGACTCTGATCCATGGCAAGACAAGGGGCAACACGAGCAAGAAGAAAGGCATGACATTTTCCTGCTGTTGTGGGACATGCTGCCCCGCCGAGCGAGACCAGTATCGAGGCAATGCGTGCTGCGACGAATCGGGAGCACCAGCTTGTTTCCTGGAGCCACTCTTCGTGGTCCTTTGCCGTCCGGTGGTTTGGATGGCGGGTGATGAGGGCAACAACATGTTTCTAGTGGCAATAGCAACCTTGTTTCTCGCGAGGGTGCAGTCTAGTTGTCTAGATTGCTGGTATGCTACATTGCAGCCACATCCTGCATAGCCGCATCTGATCATCTGAGTCCCGAAATAAGATCGAAAGATCAAGACTGGTCTGCAACATGTCGCATGTGCGCCATCGTCCGACCTGGCAAGGTTAAAAGCACATGCAGATCAAGACAGCTATGAGAGACAGCGCCAGTGGAACGGTCTGCAATCCTTCTGGTGGGGAATTGGACACATTGCTGCATGCTTTGCATTCTGCAGAGCCCTAATTACCCTTGGATGTTCAACTCGAGCGTTTGTTTCGATATGTTTCGATGATGTGGCCAACGCATGACATGCAAACAAATATGTCATGGCTGAGGAAACCTGGAGCGCTGCATCTTGGGCACCGGCCGCTTGCACGAGAACATCGACAGCGGATGGCGCCGTCCGCCAGTCGACGAGCACGAGATTCTGGTCTGAGAGGTGAAATGGACCTCAACTAAGATTTTCAGAAGTTCCACAGAGCCGTTTCCTGCAGAACTGCGAATAGCGCGGTTCCGCGGTGTTCAAGAGCGGCTTCGAGCAGCGCATTTGCCACGTATATCGCGTTGCCTCCTTCCAGCGCTCGCTCTTTGCTTCTGTCAGTGTAGACGAAGGTAGCTTCCTTTAAGCAGTTCGACTGATATTCTGCAGACACCAAAGTACATGTCTTTGGCAGGCAGCCGACACCTGGATATGCATGGTAAAGCTGTGGCCATGCAGTTGCTGCAAAATGAACATTGCCGTTTCTGCAGGCCTCGACTGCAAGCAATGCCCCGAGTTCCAGATCCCAAATGAAATGGGGGGTTTATGAGTTTATAGTATCGTTTTGGTGAGTGTATACACTAGGGGGCTCCTTGGGAAGGTGGTCGGTGTACCGGGACCTCAGGACATGGGTCGTAGTTAAGGCGCCCTTGTATCATGTGATGCATGTTTTCTGTCTTACTAGTCCCAAACCCGAACACCCTAAACCCCCGCCTCAGCCCCAAAGCCCAAACCCCTAAATCCC